CTCTTCAGCATCGGTGGTTGGTGCATAAACTTGGATGACTGTGATGTTGAATGGTCTGCCTTGGATTCGTATTGAAATAATCCTATCATTTTTGAGATTGTATCCCAGCACAGCTTTTCCCACTCTTTCGTTGACTATGAGGGCTACTCCATTTCTTCTACAGGATTGTTGTCCACAATAGTAGATGTGCTAATCGACTGAATTGAATTCACCCATTCCCATTCATTTTAGTTTACTGACGCCCAGGATGTCGGTGTTTATTCTTGCCATCTCCTGTTTGACCACATCCAGCTTACCAAGGTTCATAGATCTTACATTCCAGGTTCCTATGCAGTATTTTTATTTGCAGCATCGGACTTTCCTTTCACTTCCAGGCGTGTCCACAGCTGAGCATCCTTTCAGCTTTGGCTCAACCACTTCATTAGCAATGGAACTACTTTTACTTGTCCTCTGCTCTTCTTTAGTAACATGTTGGATGCCTTCCGACCTGAGGGGCTCATTTTCCAGCGTCATATCTTTTAGCCTTTTGTATCTGTCCATGGAGTTTTCTTGGCAAAGATACTGGAGTGGTTTGCCAGTTTCTGCTCCAGGTATATCACGTTTAGTCAGAACTTCCCACTATGACCTGTCCATCTTGGGTGTCCCTGCATGGCATAGCCCATAGCTTCTCTGAATTACTCAAGTCCCTTCGTCACAACAAGGCAGCAATCCGTGAAAGTGTAAAATCAGTGAACTGAGTATTAATATAATGTTTTTTTGTTTGTGTGTTTGTTTCTTGTTTTTTATTTTTATTTATATACTGCCCCATTAGTGCCAAAGCACAATTCAGGGTAGTTTATAAAGGATTAAAACAGAGGTTCATGACAAAACACTAAAATATAACACTAATAACAGTAATATGACAAGAGCATTAGAAAAAACAAAAAATAAAAAATTAGTGGCACCAATAAATTATCACAAAGAAGTGGAGCTGGAGGCAAAACATTCAACTGGGATCAGATTGAAAATCCTCCCCAAAAAGGAGTGTTTTCAACTGTCTCCTAAAAGAATACAGGGAGGGGGCCAGGCATAGTTCCTTTGGAAGCTGGTTCCATAGTCTTGTTGCCACCATTGAGAAGTGGTGCTACCAAGACTATGCCATCCACCTATCTCTGGTGGATAACCTTCATGCCTCTCTCAGAGGAGCCTGACCTGAGACAATCTGGTGGGTCATGTAGATCAGTGGTTCTTAACCTTTGTTACTTGGATGTTTTTGAACTGCAACTCCCAGAAACCCCAGCCAGCTCAGTTGGTGGTGAAGGCTTCTGGGAGTTGCAGTCCAAAACTCCTGAGTAACCCAAGGTTAAGAACCAGTGATGTAGATTACTGGTTCTTAACCTTGGGTTACTCAGGTGTTTTTGAACTGCAACTCCCAGAAAACCCAGCCAGCACAACTGATGGTGAAGGCTTCTGGGAGTTGCAGTCCAAAAACACCTGAGTAACCCAAGGTTAAGAACCACTGATGTAGATGACATTAGGGAAAGGTGCTCTGACAGGTGATGTGATCCCAAACCATGAAATGTCATACATGAGTGTCAAAACCTTGAACCTGATCTGGGACACAATAAGTAATCAGTGGAGGCTGGCCAGCACTGGGGTGATGTGATCAAATTTGCTCACAACAGCCACCAGTCTGACCACTGCATTCTGGACCCACTGTAGTCTCCAGCTCAGTGTCAAGGGCAGCCCCACCTAGAGAACATTGAAGTCATTGTTCCAGGAGATCACCAGTATCTGCAGCAATGTCCTGAGGGAGCCCTTATCTAAATATGGATGGAGTTGGGTGATAAGCCTAAACTGGTTGAAGTCCAATCTGGATAAAGCTGCAATGTTATTCTAAAGTTTACGTTTCAAGAGACATTGTATAGAGAAGGTAACACAAACACTTGAAGTATTGTTAAATACTGTTCCAGTTGTGAAATCATCCACAGATTCTACTGGTTTCTTTGCTTATGCTGTCTCTGGTCTTCTGTAATAACCAAGCATCCTGTATGGCTGCTGTTCTAGATATTTTAGTTCTCAGTATGGAAGCTGTCAATTACAGTGTCAAAGGAGTTTTAACTTGGTAGGGGGTTTCTTGTAATATTTTACTTTTGTCATTTGTGTTTGCTCTACAGACATGGTAAAATGTAGAGGGAAAAGGCTTACTCTTGAATATAGACAATGCTTGCCCAGTTTCTGGCTCAAATGGCATGTTTTACTGTTCATTTTGTGGGGCAGCATGTAATTAACAGCTGCATGATGCCTTATGAAATGTGTGGTACAACCTGCCTAGAACTAGACTACTTTAATATGCAGAAGAGATCTCTTGATCAGATTCTCTTCTAGTGAGATATGTCTCTGAATGCAGAAAACTACCCATAAACTAAAATTGAAGCCGCTAACATTTTACTTAATTGTTAAAATGTATGTTTCATCCTTCTGTTCATCTTAAGTGCCCAACTCCTTCTACTAAATGGAAGAGCATTCAGTTCTCCATCTCCATTTGGAAATGAAGCAATCCTGTGAGGAACATAATTTAAATGTTTATCTCTAGGGTGACCTTATGTGAATTGTACACATGCAGACTTATTCTGATAGTGAATGCTATACTGATGAATTTTGGAATTGTGTTGTAAAGGGCATGTTGCCTAAACACTTTGACTAGTAGGACGTTTTTAAAGGGAATTGCCAATTTTTTTTTCGGTTGAAGAGAAATGACATATTCATAACAGATTCATCTGAAATTTGCCCTTGTGCACATTCTGGTTTGAAGAGCCTTCTTTGAGAAGTTAGTACACGGCATACTAATTGTTTTTGTTCTTTACTTAAGACTATTTATCTCTCGTTTATCATAAATTTACAATTTATCATTCAGATATCTGTAATCTGACAAACAATAGATCTTGTAATCTATCACACTACCTTAGATGCAAGTTTAGATGTCAACACATCTTTCATTCATGTCCCTTTGATTCAGTTGTATCAAAGGATACGATTAGCTTTAGCACTGAAAAATTGAAGTAGTGAAGGAAAATGTGCTCATTAGTATTTCCAAAAATTCTGCTTTTAATCCAGAGAGTAAACTATACTATTTGACTCCAAATTGTAATATTTACTTTATATGAAAACAAATGCAGCAGCTGGTTTCGCTTTCAGTTGTCTATTATGTAAGTTATATATGAGTTTACTGTATGGAGGAGACTTTAAGTTCCTTCATTTTCTCCCTGTAGTTAAACATGTTGACTTTTGTAAACCCAGTCAGCGTCAAGCACTTTAAGACGATAGAACCAAATAGCCTTTGAGCTGGGGACTTCATTTATCCATACTAATTCTTTTAATGGCTGCTAGAATTGATTGTAAGGAGCAAGAGTGCCTGCAATAGTATTAGACAAAAGGAAAAGCACTTCTTGGCAGGTTCCTGAGTAGATTCATCTGATTTAATATGCATTTTTTGATTACTGTCTAACCTTCCACAACCTTTACTGTCTGTCTTTTGTCATTAAAGATTCATCTGCCAACCTATTGGATGAAATAATAGTCTGAATTATCCCATCTTGACCTATTTTAAATCAATGCAGCCAATGTGTAGTGTATAATTTGGAACAGCATTCCTTCATGGGGTGAAAAAAGTTTTTTTTCCATGTTAAAAGAGATAGATGAATGGTGCCATTTATCCCCAAGTATAGCTATCTAGTTAGATTAAATCTTTGGTACAGTGCAACCTTGATTTGGCATTCTAGGAGTAGCAGAACCCAAGAGCTTAATTGAATTATCTACTATCTAGCAGTTTAGCAATATTCATGGGTGTTAATTGTGCCATGGGGATTGGGTTGCCATCTATTATGTGTGCTGCAATAGTTCCTTGGGATCCTGATACTTTTGAATATTCATGCATTCTGTCCTAACACTGCAAGAAATGTCACAATGGCATAAGCACTAGCCAAAGCCTACTGCCTGCACATGCAACATAATAGTTAACCCAGTGTTTCTCATCTTACTTTGGTCTCCAGTTTCAGCTGAACTCTCAACCAACCCCACATCCAAAACAAGACATGGAACTGCAGGAAAGATGCACACCGGCAGGCTCCCCTCTGCCTAGTTTAAGTCTACTCCATCACCATTAGCTGACCATTTGTGAACTGTAGAGGGTTTGAGGGGTTTTTTAGGAAATCCCACAGTGATGTGCATGCTTACACGACCTCAGCTTGAGCCACACCACTTTCCTTGGCAGCTGAGATCTACTAAACATCAAGCACAAAGAAAAACTAGTGGCTGGGCATTCATATGTACATATTTCTTTTTAATTCTTGCCATTTATGCCTTGCGTTATTTCTACGGTGTTGCCCTAGGTGGTATCCTTTTAATTCCTTGGTGAATCCCCATTAAGGAGATGTGCACCTTTTTATTCTTGTAAAGCAGTTTTTACAGGTGTGTTTCAAGGTGAGTTATTGTGTCTATATTTCCTGGTCAACCTTCCATGTCAGGAAGTACTCATGACATGGCCTAGGCCCTACATACTGACAACACAGTGAAATAATACAAAATGTGCCTATCTCATTTTTAAGAACTAGAAGAAGGCAACCCAAAGAAAGAGGAAGAGACAGGCTGGCAGACTGTAACTTGAAATGATGGGAAGAGAGTTGCTGGGGATGTAACAGGAGCAGAGGGAGAAAAGGACAAGTTTAAAAGAAAGAAATGTAGTGACAGGAGAGTACTGGGGTGAGAGTAGGATTTACAGATTGTTAACCCAGGCAAGGCTGAGTACTTTCCCTGTGTTTCTTGCAAAAACAACAACAACAACATATAAATTAAAGAGACCTATTTCAAAAGCATTTTGTAAGTTACTTATTTTAGAAGTGTTGAATAAGGGGGGAAAAGAATTAATAAGGAAATTATTGCCTATGGCTGTTTTAATCTGTTTACATCTGAGTTTTTATGCAGTCTGAGAAGATTAAAGAGCTTTTCATGTTACTTTTCAGGATGCAGCGACCTGGAGTTCAGAGAGGTTGCCAACAGATTGCGAGATTGGTTCAAGGCTCTTCATGAAAGTGGAATTCAGAAGAGGACTAGAATTGTACAAAGACCTGAAAGAAGTCGTAAGCATTTACAACTTTTATATCCCTTTGAGAACATCTCTGTGAAGTTTCTACTGCTGATTGGTTTTTTGTTTTTTAGTACATTGACTTTTATTTTTCACTGACTCTAAGACAGAGATTCTCTTAGCCACTTGCTAGAGAAACGTTAATGCACCTCCAGAAGTTTTTTTTTTACTGTGGTGCTCCACAGGAAGTGGAAGCGTGAATTTCTAACAATGAACAGTCCCTTTAAGCTTTCCAAAAGATTTGCTTAATACATACTTGTGAGCTTTGTGTGGGTTGTCATTGCAATGTTTGATGATAAGACACCCCCAAAAGGGAGGATGAATAATAAAATATTACATTCAGCATTCCATAAAAAAGATTTGTATACATGCAACAAAACTTTTATCTGACCCTCCTCTTATCTTTCTGCAGCTGCTTGTATACTTTCTATGTATGCCAGAGAATACATCAGTTCTCCAAATTGGTTTATGGGAGGGAGAATCCATTCTATCACCTGTTCCATTGTTGGATGGACAGTATTGGATACAACCAAAAAGTATAGTGGTTTGAACGGCAGGTATACATTTACAGCTGTCTGGTGGTCCTTAACCCTAGGAAATGCTGCTATAGTAATGAGAGGAACATACAAATTTCTTTTGTATGGATTCAGTGAATATAAACAGTCCAGTAACAAAGAACATATAGGCAGATGAAGATACTGGTCTGTAAACTCTTCAACAGTGTAAATCTTAGATACTTAAAAATTTTAAAGATTTTGTTTTCCATGCATCAAGAAAGTAAAATATCAAGTTAAGTAATTACTGGCAAGCTTGTTTAAAACAAGTGATTATTATGTGCAGTGATACATTTGAAAGTGGCTTCCCACAGAGGAGTCAAGGCAAATTAGATTTTCGTAAGCATTGAACTTGGACCTTTCATTAACACAACAAGCCAACTCTGAGAATTTCTCCTGTGTATTCTTCAATAGAGCCAGCTCACTACAGAATGCCTACCTTGATCATTTCACTATTAACGTCTTTAGATGTTCTGAATATCTTTCTCCTGTCCATTTTATAATTTGTCTGTAGTTCCTACTTCCTGCAAGAAATCTTATTATCTTACTTTATTACTTTATTTTATTGGAAATGTTATCTCTCTCTCTCTCTGTCTTTCGCTCTCACTCTTTTATTATGAAGTCACAGACCCAGATTGGAAATGTTTGTTTCTTCTTGTAGTTACTTGAATCTGTTCTTATGTAGTTTCATTTTTCTTATGATTTCCAAGGAATGTAAATACATATGTCCATGTTCCTCAACCCTATGCCTCCCAGATATGTTGAACTGTTGCTGGAAGTGATAGACATTGAGAAAGGCAAATACAATGATGCTATTTCTGCTGTTTTTAAAAGAAAACAAAGCAAAGATTGATATTGAAATCAATGCATCATTACTTTGCAGTATAGCCAGTGCATACTTTAAGTAGAGCAAGCCTAAACATTGACTGCATTTCTGAAAACTGATGCTTTTGAATGACATCTGCCATAATTCCCCAGCCAGTGTTTAGTCCAAAAAGGTTATCTTTGGAAGCTTCACTCCATTAAAAAAAATCTAATATTTTCCCCAGATACATTAGTTACGGCTAAATAGCGAGACATCGTTATAAAGTAGCCAGGACTCACTCTATTATCATTTGTTATAGTGATGAATGTTTTGATATATTGCAATGTTTTGATATAATGCAAAAAACGGTCTGAAACTCAACATCAGATCCATTGTTCTAGACTGAATGTATATTAGCTTAAAAGTGCTTTCATTTCATAGCATTGTTTTGGTTCATATAATCTTATCAGCAGTAATCTTGCCCTTCATTTCTGAAGTTGATTCATCTAATGAAGTGGGCTGCAGTCCATGAATGATTATTATGCCACACAAAACTTGCTAATCATGAAGGTGGCACTAGACTCTCTACAGCAGTGGTTCCCAACTTTGGGTCCCCAGATGTTCTTTGACTACAGCTCCCAGAAATCCTAACCAACACAGATAGTGGTGAAGACTTATGGCAATTTTAGTCAAAGAACATCTGGGGACCCAAGGTAGAGAGCTGTAGCTTTAAGGATAGTAATGTAACAAACAGACGTGCCTATATTACCCCACCAAAAAATTGTGCAGTTGTAAATAAAGTGCCAATCGCTTGTTTTTTAAATGTAATATATACTAAATGAAAAACAATTTCTGTTGCATCCGGTGAAATGTAAGAAAAAAGTGAATCTTATTGTATAGCAAGAATATAACAAAGTTAAGTAATTCCTCTGGTCAGTAGCCAACATAATGGCATCATCATTCACCATACCACTAGAATTAGAAAAGTTACCAAACAACAAAGACTAGAAAGCTTCTGAGAACTGTAGTGCAGAATGGAACTTTTCCACTTCTGCATAACACTACAAATATATAACAGAAATGAATATGTTTGCAAACCAGTTCGGGTGGTTTCCCCTGTGTCATTGTAGCCCCACTTTTTGTGTGAAACTATCACACAGTAAAAAGCATTGTACCCAAACACAGAACAGCAGCAGATGCTTGCTACTTGCAGTAGCATCCATGTGTTTGTTCCTTCAAGCAGCTACAGCTCTGTTTGTAAGAAGAAAATCATTTTCTACATTTCATATTTCTTCCAGTTAACAGGCAAACATTCTTTTCAGTTGTGTAAATGACTGAATTTGTTTTTATGTTACTGGATTTAAGAAGGTGGATTGTGCAGCATAGACTCCTGTATTCACTGCAGCTTGCCATCATTCTTTTCAGCTTCTTCCATATCTACTGATGCTACCTTCCCACTATTAATTCCAACATGTTTCTTATAAGAACCACTTTTGCTTTCTTGGGGATACGTACATGCACATCTTCATTGGCAGCAGAGCATCTGCTGACAACAGCAGTGGTGCTGGAAGTTAGAAAAGAAGTTAACAGAAAGTAGATAACAATATGTGTGTTGGGTGCCTTACCTAGTCTGTGCCTGAATAAGGACTCACATATTGGCAGCTGCCCTGCCCTGGGCCCTTTTGAAGACTTTCCAATCCAATCCATATCCAAGTCTGTGATAATGTTTCTGTGTTTCCTATTGCCAAGGGGAAAAATATTCCTCCCAATGGAAAAATGCAGATAGCAAAACCTACATGGTGCAGACAGAATACAATGACTTTTGTCCAGGGTAGGGGAAGTTCTGTGGAGCTAGGTGTTCTGCTTTAATTTAATTTTCCCCTTCTTTTGTCCCACTGCCGAAAGAAAGGCCTGATCTCACCAGTGAACAGCACCCCTTTCTAAGACAGCCAGCAAAAGCAAATGAGTGAAGGAATTTAAAAGGGCAGTGGGCATGGCCCTCTTTGATTCCTTCTTAAAATGAACTGTCAGACCCCACCTGAAAGCTAAACACAGATCTTCAGGCTGAAGGTTGCTTTAATGTCTGTTAATTGTAGCAAAGCTTCTGCTCCTACCTTCTACAGGCTTCACTGTGATTTGCACTGCAGTCAGTGGGGCCTGCAGACTTGTAGTACTGATGAAGGAGAAAACGAGATGTTATGTCCAAAAAGTTGTTTTAATATGGTTTGGCCAGTTGATTTAAGTATTAAACCAAGCACTTCATAAACCTTCCATAAATTTTGTTTCATAACACTGCTTATCATTTACAATTTTAATAAACAGATACTATAATCTGTCTTATTTTTTTTTCTGCCACTCTAACTACAGATCTATCATTTTCCAGTACCACGGGTTGTTGTTGTTTTTTCCTACATTTTTTCCCAGTAGAATGCTTTTTAAAAGCCCTAGTAAACAGTGTGTTCTTCTTTATACTTACCGCTCTTCCTCTCTTCCTCTATTCTTCTTTTTTCCTGGATCTTAGTGATGCATAAACATTGATCACTTAGTGGTTTTGCAGCTGGAAATTTTTAAGGTAAATAACATGCTCTCCTTCTTAGTTCCTGCCAGCTAAACATTAGTTTTCCCTCCCTATTGCCACTTCTAATTGTGACACCCGGATGATGGTCTTAATCTAAGGGCATACCATTCTACCCCATTAATGTCTTTGCTCTGCCCTCTGGTTCACTTCATATATACACAGTTGTCTGAGGACAGTGTACCACACTGATACATTGAGCAACATCAAACCAAGCACTTAGTTTGGGTTGTATATCCTTACTTCTAAATCTGTTTTAAGAACATAGTTCAGAGGTTAAGATATGAGATCAAAGCATTTCAATGTGAAGTGCTTCTGTTTTCATGAAAGCAACATATATATTGCTGTGACCAACCTGCCAACAATGTTGAAAATGCATGTTGCCTAGATATATTTCCTGCAGTGGGGATGAACAACTAACTCATTTAGGTCTCCATCATTTAGAAAGCATCATTACGAAATCTGGAATCCTACTGAAACACAGAAAGCTACATCAGCATGGTCAAAGCCCAGTGTTGGCCTACATTTATACCTTTCAGTTCTGTGGCTTGATTTTAAAAAGAAGGAAATTCCTTCTGCTAAAAATGTAAGGTTTCTTAATAGCCATTTTAATACTTACTTGTTGCATTTTTATAGTATTCTTCCTATGGGTCCAAAGTGTATAATCTTAGTTGTTCTTACTGAAACATGGATGGCTGTAAGTCCTTGCCCTTGTGCATCACAAATGGGAGGTTGCGCTTGCTGCCTGACTCTATAGCGTATTTTATAGCTCAGGTGAGAGTTGAACCAGTGTATTCTGTGGGTGCTACTCTTAACCTCTGTGCTGCATCCTGTGTCTCCAGCTGTGATTAGAGATTCACACTTTTGTATGTAATTTCTGTGCTTCAGTTGAACTATATAATTGCATGTGCACAATCTCCACTCATCAGAATATAATCCTTTGGTTCTCTCTTTTGGCCCTGAGAAGCCTTGCAAGAACATAATTTTTGATGTATGCTTAGGTTTTCCTCAATTTGGAAAATACAGTATGTGCAATTTCAAAGTGGGATTCAAAACAATCC